AAATTATAAAAAAGTTCAAACAGCATTTATCCATTTTTAAATAACGCAAATCTGTTCCCACTGGTGCTTTTACCTTAAGGCAATTGTCCATCCTCGCGCGTTAAAATATAATGCTGGGAGATATGAGTTTACGTGCAGCATCTTTGCAAAACACACCGAATGTTATTGAACAACTTTCACTACTGGTAAGTGTAGCCTCTGGCATACGCAAAAATAAACAAGGATTATCCTTCATAAAGTTGCAGTACTAATTTTTCACTGAAATTTCTTTTATTCTATTAAAAGAATTAGGTAGTTTATGTTTGTTTTTCTTATTCAGAGGCCTCCTGAGAGGAAAGGGAGCGTAGGGGGTGTCGAACTCCCAAACAAAATTTATGATTCGCCAAATTAGGCACTGGAGTCAGCAAAATTTGATCTATAGTTGGCAGTCGGCAAAAAATTCGCCTAGGCCAAACCCTGCAAAAAAAACAGATACTACATCCTCTCCCCTTTAAGATCTCTTCAAGCGGCCCTGCCCCTAATGAATAAACAAGTCTACTTAGATCAGCTGCAATTAAACCAAAAAAAAAACGCAAAAAAACAATGGTTCTAATTTGAGAACATGTGCAACTTACTCTTTCTCCACATTTTTGATAATATCTTTAGACCTTCCTTGAATATTATGGTACCTTTTGTTTTAAGGAATATTTCACGGGGTGTGAAATTTTTTTCTTAAGATTAAAAATACATTTCTTGTTTTAAGATTCATATAAAAATTGTTAATCCATAGTCTATTGTTAAAAAAATTATTTCTTAAAACAAAAAAATATGTTTCTTGCTTTTAGAAAAAAATTTCCTAATAAGAAATGCAATTCTGCTAGGCGCACATTTCGTTATTACGGCTTGTATTTTGATTATTTAAATATAAAAATTTTTCAAAATTATTAAAACAAAAGAATGATAGAAGTTAAATATATTAATAATACTGTTCTCCGTGTTGTAAATTGCTTTATTTAGTTGAAACAATAAACTTATTAACTAAGTTCATTATTTCACAAGTTTTTAATAAAAATGAGAAGAAAATTTTAAAAGAAGTTTGAGATACAACCAAGCAAAGGAATTACCATTTACATAATCTCGAGCAAAATAGATAATTAATTAAGAAGCAGGTATCAGTGCTAGAATTGATTTTTTTATTATTATCAGTGCTACAGTTGATTTTTTTGTTATGAAAAAATAACTTTTTAATATAATACTCTCAAGCGCTAATGACCCTCATTTTGTAACCGTCCTATTTTATAGCGTCACGTGAAATAAACTACAGACGTGTTCAAATTATTAGACTAAAATTTTTTTCTCGTTTTTTTTTTATTTTTATAAAAATATTACAGATATAACGTTCGTAAATATCAAAAAAACCCTAATTAATACTTGGTATGGAGCCCCTTGGCTTTAATAAGCATGTTAATGCGGCTCGGCATGCTTTCTACCAGAGTTTTACAAATGTTTTTGATGTCTTGGTCTTGATGCCATATTTGTATCAGTTTTTCGATGAGTTGCACTTTGGTGGTAATTGTTTCTTTCTTGATCTTTTTCTTTACAACAGCCCACAAATTTTCAATGGGGTTCATGTCGGGACTATTTCCTGGCCACGGCAATGTCTTGATTCTGCTCTGCTGAAGAAATTCTGTCACTTTTTGGGCTTTATGACACGGAGCCCCATCGTGCATAAAAATTACATCTCCCTCTGGAAACCATGTCTTAATTTGGGGCATTAACCTATTTTGTAGCACTTTAATATATTGTACATGATTCATGGTGCCTTCTACGATGTACAACATTCCCGGTCCGTGTATTGACATGACACTCCACACCATAACAGACGTTGGATGCTTGACACTCTGGCTAACACACTCTGCCTTGAACTCTTCTCCTGGTCTTCTTCGAACATATTGGCTCTGTTCTTCCTCCACCAAAAAGATGGATTCATCGCTAAAACATACCTGGATATAATAAATATACAAATGAGTACACAGAAACACTTTGCAAAAAATTACAGATAAAATTTGAGAGATTCTTTAGAAAAAAAAATTGCCTAAATTTTTTTAGAACTCATCTTCATATTTAAAATAAATTTTGATATCAAATGTTAAGTGAAAACTCTCAAAATGACTTTGAATACAATTTTTGCATACATTTTACCTTACTCCAGTCATAGATAGACATGTTTTCATGAATTTTAGCCCATTCTAGCCTCTTTTTAGCCATCGCTGGTGTAACCTTTTGTTTTTTTCGTGGACGACGACTTTTCAAACTACTTTCAAAAAGCCTTCTCCGAACAGTAACTGGAGAAACATCGACTCCTGCTTCATTGAGTTGTTGACACAACACCTTAGATGTGGCTCTTCTGTTATTAAGTGCCATTTTAACCAGATTTCTTTGTGTTCTTGGGGTTATTTTTCTTTTACGACCACAATTCCCTATTCTGTGGTGCTCATATGGCTCTTGATTATCAACACATTTTTTTATTCTGCTTACTGTTTTCTGACTTACACCAACTTTTAAAGCTATTTGAGTTTGTGTGTAAACCTTTTCACCCAACAAAGTTTTTACAGCAGAATATTTTTTGGGGGAAATATCATTTTTTTTGCCCATTGTTAAAATAAAACAATTTCACCAGTTTTACTGTACAATTCCTAAACAAAAACAATTTATTAGTAAATTCGAATTAAGTTTTTATACATAAAGTAATTTTGTAAAGAAAATAAATTAAAAGTAATTAAAATTACTTTAAAATGACACCCAAACAACTGCTGCAACGTTTTGCTACTAAAGGAAAAAAAACATGCGCTGACTTGCCTTCCAATATTGAAAACGCTCTGACAAAAAAAAGTGACGTTGCCAAATATATAAAGTATGTAAAAACATTAGAAAAATGTCATATTTTATACTTAAAATCTTTTAACTGTGATACTTGTGAAAATGTAATAGATATTTGAACTCAATCACGGAAAATAATTTTCTTAAATCTATAGTCTAATAATTTGAACACGTCTGTAGTAAGATTAGGGGTCGTCCATAAATTACGTCACGCTATAAGGGAAGGAGGGGGGTTGGTAGTTTTGTGACGACTCATACAAAACTTGCTTCTTAAGTGTTACGATTTTGTGACGAGGCGGAGGGGGGAAGGGGAGGTAAAAATCTGTCAAAAAATGCGTGACGTAATTCATGGACGATCCCTTAGGCCGTCCGGAAAAAATCTTACAAACGGAGGAGGGGTGACTTTTAATGCCGAATAACAACATAGTCTGAAAAACGGATACGTTAACCTATAAAAAAAATCAATTTATGACTCAAGGCTCGTTACTACGAATTAAATAAAAAATATATGTTTAAAATAATTAAAAGCATGTCTTTGTTTAAACGGTAAATATAATTAAGAAAATTGCTTTTCCTTAATTCCTGGCGTACTTCATTTGGCTTGAGAAACGCGTTTGTTCTAAAGCGCTTTTTAAACTAATATTTTTTACGAACAACATTCTTGTATAAAAAAAATATTTGTTAATTTTTTAACATTATTCTAGTTCAGTAATTCAGTTTACGAGATTTTTTTTTTAATTTTTATTTTTTTTATTTGTTATTATTTTTAGGTACCCCAAGAAGACCTAACGGTCTTGTCACAGAGCACCGCGGTAAATTTCCTGGTTAAAGTGCATTTAACCAGGAAATTCACGCCTCCTTCCTTACCGTGACGCGAAAATATTTCTAGAGCTCGTTTCGAATCTGGACTTCCTGCTTATAAAGCAAGCTTTCAAACCACTGCGCCATGACCGCACTAGTCATTAATTTGATATTCTGCACAAAAATTGTAAAAAGTTGGAATGGTTGAATGGTTGAAGCTGAATTTGTGCTATTTTAAAATTTTTACATTTTTAAATCATATGTAATCTAGAGTAAAAAATCAAGTTACATTAATTAATTTAAAATGAATAGTCAGAGGTAATTTTACAGGGGTACATCCCCCCCCCCCCCAAAGAAGGTGATTTTTAAGTTATATTCGGTTTTTTTATGAATTTAGTAGGGTAGTTGGGTACTTGACAGTAGGGTAAGTTTTAATTTTGAAGACTATTTTTTTTTATTTACACAGCCAGACAGTGCTTTTAAAAAGTTCACCTCCTCCCCTCATTTTATTTGTAGAATCACCACTATGAATAATGTGTGTAAAACAGTAAAATGTTAAACTCACTGATAGATTTTTATACATTTTAAGTTTTTATAAAATGAAATGAACTAAAATGAATATTCAAAAATAAAAAAAAAAAAAAACTATATCTTTATAATATAAATATAGAAATATATTAAATTGGATCATAAAAAAAAAACATTGATCTAATTATCAAAAGCAAGTGTTTTCGTTTAAAGGTTGTTTGTTATATTTTGTAAAAATGTTTTAGTTATTTTAAATTAAATTTAATAATTTTAAATTAAAACTTACAATATTGAAAAAATTAGTTAAAACAAATCATTAATAATTTGTTTTAACTAATTTTTTCAAAATTTTAAGTTTTAAATTAAAATTTTCAAAAAGCGTTAAAAACTTTAAACTACTTTGGAAAACTAACAAACCTTAGCAATTGCTAAGGTTTGTTGATTCTCCAAAGTAGTATAAAGTTTTTAACGCTTTTTGAAAATGTGTAGTGAAGATATTTGGAAAACTTTTTAATTGTTATTGCTTGTGATGTACGCTCTTTTAATTGTAACTGCTTATGACGTATTGTCCTGCTTATGGCGTTCTGCTTATTTTAATCGTTACTGCTTATGATGTGCGTTTATTTTAATTGTTAATGCTTATGATGTAAGCTTGTTATGATTGTTACTGCTTATGATATAAGCTCTTTGTTTATTATTTAATTTTTTCTGCTTAATTCTTAACCTGTTTGTACCTTGTGATTAAATTGTTTTATTTAGCTAAGTATTATATTACTTTTTATATCAATCATAGTTTATCAATTTTACCATAGGTGAACAATCTTTTGATAACTTCTTATGTTACCTTCTCAGCTGTATTTTTTTATGGTAATATTCCAAATAAAAACTCAAATGTGTCGATCATAGCTCACTCTAATTGGATTTATAGTGATAAAGATACTGTATTTAAAGTTATTCAGGAAAGGATCTCAGTTTTATTTGAAAGAGGTAATTTAAAAAAGTGTTTAAAATTTACTAATAAAATCAATAGCTAAAGATAAGGTTGCCATATTGTATCCTATTCATTTTAAACTTATTATTTGTTTAACATAATAAATAGAGTTTGACGTCAGCTGGTAAAAGTTTTCCTATAAAAATGCAGATTTAAGTGAACTCAAATATGTATATGAGTGTTTTTTTTATGTTTCCACCATAAAATATAAGCATCAAGTCAAATCAAATAAATTCTAAATAAAGTTGTTTCATCAAGGTATTTACAAAAGTAATAAGTGCTAATATAAAGTAAACAGCTGTCAAATTCAAAAATAATAAATGATCATAATAATAGTTATAATACAAGTAGGAGTAAATAAAAATAATGGTAGCGATAACAGCGAAAAGTAAACGTAAAAAGTCTATACCGCACAATAGTAGTCATAATAATAACAATGATGAAGAGAATATCATGAAGATATTTCAGTTTAAAAAAGATAATAAATTTAGAAAATTGATATTAAAATTAGTATTATAACACAACAGAAAAGAGAAAAAGTGTTTTATAATTAGAAGCGCGGAGTAAGGGTTACAAATAATAAGCTGTAGAAAGGTATAAAATTTAGAATCAATTATTTTCTAAAAATTAGTTTAAATTTTGAAAATGATTTAAGAGATTTCAGTTAGGAAGAGAGAATCATGTTCCAAGATTGTATGCTTTAATGTTGAATGGATTCATAGCATCTATTAACCTGTCATGCAATTCTCCTTTATATAATAGGCTTGTATAGGAAACCTTTGTTACCTCTTTTTTTACAAATACTTGTAGTCTTCGAACTAACTTTTATTTCTAAACCTTTATTTTAAAATTAAAATTAACTTTTATTCGTTTAATTTTACCTTATTCAAAACTCACCAGACCCATCTGATCTATGTAAAAATATTATAAATTTAACTATTTTCACTTTGGATTATAGTGTTGATGCCTACAATCCGTCGATTTGCAAATAGTAAAATAACCACGTGCTAGACCTTGACATATAATAACAAATCAGTTCATCTACCTGTTATGACATTTGAATATTCTTTGTGGTGCTTAGCTTTGTACTTCTTGGCTCGATTGTCTTTCTTTTTGCTTTTTATTATTCTCTTTCTTTGTTATTTTATAACTCCAACTGATTTAATGGTTGCTTGCATCTTAATAGGAGCAAAAAATTTCACTCCAAATAAAACTAATTGAGTAATTCTTTGTATTTAACCAATGTTCATAATAATGATAAACTTCTAACAGTTTGATATGCATTAACAAAAAAATTGATATCAATTAAGTAAAAAAAGGTACATGCAAAAAAAAGTTAATTAGGTTCTTTAATATATTTTTTCCGTACAAGCTTTTAAAATTTATTTCTTATCTTTCAAACTTGTAATCATCTGTTAGTTTGAAAAACGTCCAGCAAAAACATGCATCTAAATAAGCGCTCTTTATGCAGTAAATTAGTGTGTATGTTTGTGATGTTTTGGTATACAACTTGATAGGGCAATTAGCTGGACAAGGATAAAGCACAATACAATCTGTTTGTAACTTTTTAAATTTATAAATATTTTTAAAATCTGTAAAAAACGTTTGAAATAAAAAATTAGTTATTATTAGAAAAATATAGGTTCTATATATAATAAATTTATAACTTTAATAAAAATTATGTAATATTGAATTTTATAATACTTTGTATAAGTTAAAAATTTCTGTTATGATAACAGGACAAAGATTTTATATAAATAAATTCATTTTCAGTACTTATAAAAATGCAGCCATCATTTTTTTATAAAGAACAGAATGAAACATTTTTACAGACGGAGAAATTTCTGTTTGTTTGTGGATCAATGCTCAAAAGGTAAAATGAATGTGTTTTCTACATTATTTTAACATTTTTTTTTTTTAACATTATTTTTTTGCTTCTGAGAGCAGTTGTTACTGCTATTGTTTCTAGAATAAGAATTTAAAAGTCATGAATAAAAGTTGTTAAATTGGTCAAAATTTTATCGACAATACTTTTGTCTTTAAAGAGTGTAATTATAAACAAATAGTATAATAAAACATTAACATTTGTGTTAATAAATACAAAACAACAAGTTTTTTTAATTCAATTGTGGAGATTAAGTTTTTGAAAAGTTTTGCTAGAGTACTCAGCATAAAGAGTGTTTTTGATAATTACTTAACAGATGTTACTGGAAAAGATGAATTTGTAATTAGTTTTTAAACGTGCTTTTTTTCAAATATAAAAGCTTGAAAAAGTATATAACTGCTTTTTTGTTTTGTGTTCCTATTTCCTCAAACATATAAATATACAAAATAAAATATTTTTGAAATCCTTACGTAAGGTTGTTCTTATTGTTTTTTGTTTAAAAAATAGATTACAGTTGGCTCTGCACTCAGATGGTGTAGAATAAACTCCATTTTTTTTATGCATCAATAAGTTGCTTTTTGTAATATTTGCAATTTTATTCATTAAGTGTACTTTTTTTAGACAACAAAGTCATTGTTATCAACGTGAAATATCTACTGGAATAATTGTGTGTAAGTTTTTTACTTTTTAAAATATTTTAACTGGCAAAGGCTTTATATACTGTTTACGTGTTTGTTATTTTTTTGTTTTGCCGATGGCTATTCGCACGGCCGCAAAACCAAATCTTACAATCAATTTTTGAGTCATTTGTCATAATAGATTTTCTTCAAATTTTGCATACATACTCTTTCTTGAGGACAATACAATATTCAATAATTAGTTATGTAATAAGTTAACTAATTTAGTTAAATTTTAATTAAATTTATTTTTTATATGGAAAGAAGAATTTAAAATTTATGAATAAGTATACTAATTGTTTAAATACTTAAACGCGCGATTAGCTTATTTGGTAAAGTCGTCGACTTCGTTAATTGAAGGTCAGAGATTCGAGTCTTGCCTCTTCCTGGATATTTTTTGTTATTTTACACACGCATACAGCCGAATGTCAATAAATTAAAACAGTACTATCAGAAAAAACTTATTCCAAAATTTGTGTTTTTAAAGCATATAAAAGCACTAGGTTTTAAAAATTAGTTTTTAAGTTTACTTGTTCTTTTCGCGTTTTTTTTTTACTATTTTTTTAGAGTTCTATGTAATTACCAAAGCTGTCATTTTCTTTCAGATCTTGCTTTTTAGCTTTTAATTTGTTTTGTTGTACCTATTAATTAGTTCTAAAGTCATGGTGCAGCCCTATTTCAAATTTTGCCAATTTGACCGTGCAAACACCTTTTCTTAACTGCTTATTTGTAGGGATGCACCGAACCCGGTTTTTGGCCGAACACCGAATCCGAATACCGAACTTTTGCTTTTTTTAAATATAAACATTGGTTTACGTCATAAACACTTTCAACTCGAAGTGAAAACTATATTTTTAAAAATTTAATGTGTTTTTTAAAAGATTAGATTTATTTTGAAAATATGTGAAGAAACTTTAAATAATTATCAAAAGTAAATTTATTATTAGATGATTGTTTGTAGTCACTACACTACAATGTAGTGTAAAAAGTACACTTAATGAATAAAATTGCAAATATTACGAAAAGCATTAAGAAGTTTTTATTTAAAAAATGAAAAATTAAATTTATGAGTATAACTTATTAAGAATGAGTATAAGTTATACTCATTCTTAATAAGTTATTCTCATAAATTTAATTTTTCATTTTTTTATACATACTTTTTTATACATTTTTTAACATACAATTAACAATTATTTAAATAAATCCTCAACGTAAAATATTATTTTGAGAAGTTTAGTTTATAATTTACAATATAATTTTATTATATTATAATTGTTAATAATTATTAATAAGTTATAATATAACTTATTAATAATGAGTATAAATAATTAACAATTATAATATAATAAAATTATATTGTAATTTATATTACAATATTGTAATAAGTTATTCTATAACTTATTAATAATGAGTATAAATAATTAACAATTATAATATAATAACATTATATTGTAATTTATAAATTAAACTTCTCAAAATAATATTTTTATTGTTAATGTTAAGGCCTAAAGTTAAGCTATTTAGCTAACTTTTATATTTGTAGACTATACTAAAAGCTTAGCTTATATGTTATAACATTTAAGCTAAATTTGCACTCTATTCTACAAATGTAAAAGTTACATAATAAAAATAAAGGTATAAAGGTATAAGGTATTAAAACCTAGTATCTGGCATGTTTTAAGATTATATTTTTTTCTTAAACTTTATTTATTTATTAGTATATACTTTTAATTATTTAGAAGCATAAAAAAATGTCTTCAAAAATAAAATTTAAAAGTACTGTTTGGAAATATTTTGAAGTTTCAAAGAAAGATAATCATTTTTGTATTTGCCTACTATGCAAAGCATTACTTTCTAGAGGTGGGAATTGTCCTAAAACATTCACCATTAGTGCAATTAGACGTCATTTAAAAAACAAGCACTTTGCAGAATATAAAATAGCTGAAAAATAGTCTGACAAAAAAAAATTGAAACATCTACAGCCTCTACATTAAGTAATTCTGAATTAAAAAAACAATTAACATTACTGGAGAGTCTTAATAAAAAAGCTGTGAGATGTAAATGATCAAAGAGCTATCAAAATTCACTATCACATTGAAGAAATAATGGCGTTGGACATTCAACCATATTTGATTGTAGAAGATCTTGGTTTTAGAAAATTAATTGAAGAGCTGTGTCCTAATTATCAAAGAACTAGTAGGAGATATTTTAGTGAAAACATTATTCCACAAATATATAATAAACTATTTAGTTCTATCAAGAGTAATATATCTGCTGCCATTCATATCTCTCTTACAACTGACATTTGGACAGCAAATAGTTCAAATGTTGCCTTTATAAGCATGACAGCACACTGGCTCAGTAATAAATTTTCCTAGCACAGAGCAGTACTTAGGGTTATGTATTTTCTAGAAAGTCACACAGGAAAAAACATAAGTGAGTATTTACATAAAGGTTTAGTAAGTTTTGAAATTCCTTACACAAAAATTCATATTGTTTTATGAGATAATGCCGCCAATATGGAAGCTGGTGTAAGAGATAGTGGTTTTAGATTAATGCCATGTTTTATACATACAATACAGTTATGTATACATGACTCAATTTTGTCGCAAAAATCTGTTAAGGATATTTTAGCTTATTGCAGATGTCTGGCAACTCATTTTCACCCTTCCCCAACAGTAGCAGCAAAATTAGAAGCAATTCAGGAACAACTTGGTACAAATAAGCACAGGTTAATCCAAGATATTACTACAAGATGGAACAGTTCTTATGATATGATTGAAAGGATGCTTGATCAAAAATTTCCTTTGGCAACTTATACAGGTGATCATCCTACCCAATCAACATTAAATTCATATCAACAGGACTTATTAGATAAAGTGTTGCATATTTTAGAACCATTTAAAACTTTAATCATTTTAGTAAACGTGAATCATATTTGTCAGATATTATTTCTTCAATTATGGCTCTGAAAGAATCTTTCAATCAAGCATTAGTATGTGAGGCTTTTTTAACAATAAATATTTTAGTTGAACATTTAAGTGGGTCAGTAGACAAAAGATTGGGTCCATATTTACATGATAAATATTTATGTCTTTCCACTCTTTGTGACCCTAGATATAAATTGATATCAAAAGGAAGACAAGGATAAAATAAAAAATTGGATAAATGAACAGATGCAAGAAATGCAACAAAGTAATTTAGAACTTGAATCCTCTGATTCCGATTTTGACGAACCTTCAGTACATAACACAAATGAAGTAATTGCAAAACCAGCTTATCCAAATTTCAATGAATGTTTTCAGAAAGTTGATAAAATAAAACTGATAACTATAAATGAATGTGATTCCAATTTTGTAAATACTGAAAATTGCAAACGGTTAAAAAGATCGAGTTCTAATATACAAATGATAAACAGGGAGATTGAAGAGTATTTAAAGCTATATCTTGTCAAGGAAAAAGAAAGTCCTCTCTTGTGGTGGAAAAATTGTGGAAACTCTTTTAAAAATTTAAAGAAAATTACCCAAAAGTTTCTTTCAGCATCACCATATTCTGTTGAAAGTGAAAGACTTTTTAGTTCAGGTAGCATCATTTACAAACCCAATAGAAGCAGACTATCACCAGAAAGTGGCAAAAAATTAATGTTTATTTATTATAACTTGAGGACAACAAATGATAATTGATTTTCACTCATGTTTTTAATGTTTTATTTTTTCAATTATCGATTATTTTGTTAGGTGAAAGTTTAAATTGTTGAAATGTCTAGTATTAATACTATTGCATGTTTAGTTATATAATAATAACATAATAGTATATATTATATAGTTATTTAGTAATAACTACATAATAAATTAGAGTATTTTTATGTTTTTGATCACCACAATAGGCGCCACTTAAAACAGAAGTTTCTATCTGTTATTTTAAGTTTATTTTATATTATATTTTCGCGATTTTTCCAAAATAAAAAATTTGCTACTTGCATGAATTTTATAACTTAAGTTAAGTTTAATTGTTATTAGCATTATTGTATATAAAAGGATAAAATTAACTAAAATATTGCTCAATTGAAAGGATTTTTCATTTTACACTTATACTAGTACTATTTTTTCTAAATGATGTAAACTAGTTTTACCTAATACATTCGGTTTTAAGTAATACATGCGATCAAATTAAATTTATTCTAAATTCAAAAAACTTGATGTAAATCTAACGTATTCATGTGTTCTATTGAAAAACATATTCTCACCTACTATGCGTTGTAGATAAGAATCGGGTTTTCAATAAAAAGCCATATCTATTGGTACTGTAGCTATTTAGGCTGAGTTATGATGATTTGATGATATTAATTTCCAAATTAGCATTTTTAGCAAATGTTCGGCCGAACATTTTTCAATGTTCGGCCGAACCGAACGTTCGGTTTTGCCAGACATTCGGTGCATCTCTACTTATTTGGCAGCCGTGTCAATAGTCTTTTTTAGAAGTTGTACACGGCGCTCGTGCCAATAAACACTATCATTTTTTTTGTTTTTTTGGCTTTTATGATTTGCAGTCTTTTACTTAGACAGTTCTAGAGTTTTTTAAATACACAAAGTATGAGTGTAGGTTTATTGTTTTTATTGGGAAATTTTTTTGAGACAACAAAATATTTATTTGAACAATTAGAAAAGTTTTTCTTCAAAGCAATTGCTTTTTAGCCTAAGCTTCTAAGTCAGTCATTAAAAATTACACAGAGTACACTCAAGTAATAAAAATAATGTTTTTGGTTATTGCTATACTTGTATTAATTCAAAAGATAAACGGCACAATAAAATGATCATCAGAATCAAAAAATTTGACTTGAATTACACTCAGATCTAATTGCTAATTGAAAGTAAAGGCTAAATTTTGATCATTTTTTATTGTTTCTTTGAACAATTAAAAAACTTTTTCTCCGAAACAATTGCTTTTCAGTCTACAAACAAATAACAAGGTTTTCCTTCTAAATATTTACTTTT